GCTGCAGGTCTAACCCCGCCTGGCTGGGGGTGCCGGGGACACCCCCCACCCCAGCCCCTCTCCCGCAGGTTTTCATCAGCAAGGACCTGGCCMGGCATTTCGGGTACCAATCGGCCCCTGAGGCGCTGCGGGGGCTGCGGGAGCGCGTCCAGCCGGGGTAGGGAAGTACCTGAGGGGCCGGGAGGGGTGGGGGGCACAGGGTGTACCCCAGACCCACCTGAAACTCCCCCAGGGCCACKCTGATCTGTGCCTGGGCTGAGGAGGGGGCTGATGCCCTGGGMCCCGACGGGAAGCTGGTGCACTCGGACGCCTTCCCCCCAGAGACCCTCGTGGACACGCTCGGGGCTGGGGACACCTTCAACGCCGCCGTTATCTTTGCGCTCGCAGAAGGTGGGCACAGACACGGCACGGCCACAGCGTGGCCACGGTTCGGTTTGGTACGGCCATGGCACGGCCATAGCATGGCCATGGTTCGGTTTGGCACGGCCACAGCATGGCCATGGTTCAGTTTGGCACGGCCACAGCGTGGCCATGGTTCGGTTTGGTACGGCCACGGCACGGCCACAGCGTGGCCATGGTTCGGTTTGGCACGGCCATGGCACAGCCACAGCGTGGCCACGGTTCGGTTTGGCACGGCCACAGCGTGGCCACGGTTCGGTTTGGCACGGCCACGGCACGGCCACAGCGTGGCCATGGTTCAGTTTGGCACGGCCACAGCATGGCCATGGTTCGGTTTGGCACGGCCATGGCACGGCCACAGCATGGCCATGGTTCAGTTTGGCACGGCCACAGCGTGGCCACATCTCATCCCGAGCCCCATCCCCAGGCAGGACCCTGCAGGACGCCCTCACCTTCGGCTGCCGGATCGCGGGCAGGAAATGTGGGATCCAGGGCTTCGATGGCATTGTCTGAGATTGCGCCTGGAGACCTCCACAACCCCCCCAGACACAGCACATCCCCACTGCAACCCCCCAGTAAAACCCCACATGCACCACTCTGCCTCCCGTGTGCCCCGGCTGTGCCCCCCTTGCCCTGGCTGGGGTCCCACTGCCCCTGGGATGCACTGACCACGGCCAAGGCCACTCACAGTGCCTCTATTTCTCCATTCAATGCATTACCACATGAGCCCTGCCCTCCTCGGGCCCCACAGC